AAACAATAAGATATACAAAATAGTCCCTAACACTATCCGGTACACTTATCTAATTAAATCTTAACTACATCATATGAGAGAAAATCAAACAAATATCTATAAAAATATATGAAAATTAATTTCAAATTCTTAACTACTTTTATCAACTTATACTATGAGTAGAGTTTTCTCTTAAAACAAGATTGGAGAAAAAATTGTACTACGGTGATAATTTCTCTGTCTTGCATTCCAAAAATATGTTCTTAAGCTTGAAATATAACGGTGAGGTGATGAAGGTCATCTATATATGACTCTGGATATGTTTAGTTACATGTTTAACACTTGTAATCTTAATTAGCTGGTCTCAAACCTAATATGTTTAGCAACTTTTTTCTCTATTCCGTTAAATGTTAATTAGAAACAAATTTCAGCTAAATCAAAAACTAAAAAATTATTAATTTTTTTTTAATTGATTTAAAAATTTAAACTCACCGAACTTAACTTTCTAATTATCATCCAAATACATTCTTAGGAAAACAAACATTTAAACAACTCATGAAAGTAACACACCTCAATTGTAGTCCTTGGCCCATAAAATCTTCATAATCTTCCTCTTGGGCCTCAAGGGTTTTAGAGTATCAGAAACAGGGTGAAGTGGACTAGTAAGCCCACTATTAGTGGCAATTGAAAATAGGGGATGGGAGAAAAATGACTTGTGGTGAAACCAAACGGGGATTTTGCTTATTTTTTGGTCCATCACGTTCTTTTAATTTTACGTCAACTTCATTCATCAGACTTGTGAATATTTGATCCTAATCAAAACAATAACCTTCGACGTGCGAGTGCACTTTTGACTTTTGTGTCCAAAAAATAAAATTAAAAAATAATAATAATAACACGCGTATACTTTGGATCAGTGCTCATCATTGTCACTAATTAACTCACCTTATATGCAAAGTGTCTGCAAGATATACAGCTTTTCATGGTCAGATGCAACCTAATTTTCATGTGCTTCTTTCTTTGTCAAGAGGACTTTTATTTAATTAAGCAAAGTGAATGCTGGTTTAAGTTCAAATGTGGTTGGTTAGGTACAACCCAAATCTTGAAATTTTAAGAAGACTAAGGTTTTGAGACCCTACTTAGTTATTAATATTGCTGCTGATGATGAAAACTCTTCTCAAATTCTCTATAATGTTTTCTAAAATCGAAAATTATGCATATTCCTCAGAATTTTCATTGTCATCAACCCTAACCAAAAGCAACCCATATTCTAGCGGATCAATAGCCCTAGCTTCCCATTACATTAACATCTGTCTCATCAATAAAATCCAACACAATTAATTGATAGATAATTAGTTTGTTAAATATCGTACAGAGAATATTTTGTTAAAAGAAAAACGTAAACTCGTTTTTTTTAATTACATATATTAACAATTACATATTTGGTTTACAAGTGTTTTAAAACATTCTAAATAGTTGGACTAAAATGTATTTATTTAGTTGCTTTGAGCTGAGTGGACTTTTGAACACTTTCAACATCAAAACAAACATACCATATGTGTCTTCTTACATATCTATCACAAGTTGTACTTAAAAAAAATTGAATGATTAAATATATTTTTAGATTTTAGACAAATTTTTACTAGTTTTAATTTATGAATTTTTTTATCGATTTTTACAAATTAATGATTAACATTTCTGATCATTGACGTCAAGATTTTTAATTATAAAGAAAAAATTTAGGAGCTAAAATAAAATAAAATATATTTAAAACTACAAGGCAAAGAATCCAAAATCATATTTAATTCAAAATAAAACAACTACTACATGATTTGATTTGATTATTGATCCCATCTTGTGTAATGAAAATCCTACAAGTAAAATCAAAGAATATAAATAGCAAGTAGCAATGATATAATAATAGAGACACAAAAATAATAAATGGGGTTTTTATTTTTAGTTAGTTGTCATTATTTGCTTATTTTGCAATCCAACTCCCCTGATTTGGTTTATTTGGATAAGATGGGGACAGATGATTGGGACTTGATATATATATTATTAAAAAGTAGAAGTAGTGGGTATTACTCGTTGGAGTCATTCTGCAATTTCAACTGTATCATCATTCTTGTTAATTATTCCTAACTTCTCATTCATGACTCATTTGATTCGTTTCATACACAAAGAAGAAAAAAATAAACTACTGCATACACTTTCCGTTTTTTATTAAAATATATGTATGAGAATTTAATAATAACTAAATCATTTAAAAAGGAAAACCAAACCGCCCAATAAAAGTTTCTTTTTTTTCAAATTAAAAAATGACTTCGATTTTATTGTGTCTTAAAAGTAAGTTTTTTTTATAACTTACCACACGTAACTAAAATATAATTATATAGATAAGTAGGGTTTACATGTCTTTGGATGAGTTATCATACACAAATAACGTGTTACTTTACCATCGAGTGTGTAAAAACATATATAGAATTGTTATAACTTAATAGTAGTTTGAAAATAGTATAGAATTTGATACTTAAAATTACTTCGATTCAAACTCAACTTAAATTCAGAATCAATTCATTAACTTGAAATGATACTGTAAATATTTATCTAAAATCACATTAATTATTATTTTAATATAAATGTAGACATGTATATGGTTTGTACATCTTTCACCTTCTGTGCTTGTCCACCACTGTTTAACTAAAGACGGGTTTGATAAGAAGAAATGAAATAGGTGAAAATAGAGTAAAAATAAATGGAAAAGAGAGAAATTAAGTAAACAAAAGTAGTGATAACTAAAAAAAGAAACATGATATGAAAGAAAGAAAGAAAAGCATATTTCAATCAATTAAATTTGAATGTTATTATAAATGAAGAAAATAGAAAGAAAAAATAAAATAAATTTCATTATAAATTAAAATAAATTATATGTAAGTTAAAACAGAAATACTTTTTATTAGAACTCATTAACTTTTGATTTATCTTTATAAACAACACCAATTTTTTTACATAAACTCTATTTTCACTCTCTATACTCAATTTCATGACTATTTTTCATGTATTAATTAACAGAGTACAAGTGAAATGTTAATATCTTCTCTCAAGTTAGACAAGTAAAGTCAAACTACAGAAAGAAGATTTGACTTTGTCAACGGGTATAAAATCCTGCTCATTTTATTTTACTTTTTCCTTAATATTTTAGCCATTATAATAGAAAGTTGTAACACTTGTCGCCATTCTTGCTTCATCACATCCACGCCTACAAAAAGAATAGTGACCTTATATGACGTAAGATCATACGTCATCAGTAAAAATGCTATAATTTATATGTTCTATATCAATTCTCATATAAACATGCGGAATTTGACCGTGTCTTAAGCAAGTCCCAACATATTTGTATGAAAAGACCTTATTGCCACTACATTTAAAGGGGTTGTCGGTGTCGCACAGAAGATTCATTAGAAGTTGGGAGGACAGTGAAGGAATTTCATATGCCCTTTGCACCAATGTCTACTAGGCTTGGCAACCGGGCGGGGCGGGGGTGGGGTCCGTCCCCGTCCCCGATAGTTGCCGGGAGTAAAATTTGAGTATCCATCCCTGTCCCTGGCGGGGTTCGGGTTTCCCCGCCTTGTCCCCGCTCTTATTTTTTTTCTTTTTTTCTTTTAAATAAATATAAACAAATTTTAAAAAAAATAAAAAAAAAAAGTAAAATAATATTAATTTTTACATATAAATATTTCTAATTTTAATTTATATATATATATAAATAATTTTTTAATTATATTATTAAGCGGGGCGGGGACGGGAACGGGGGCGAGGCGAGTATTAACATCCTCGTCCCCACCCCCGCCCCGATTTTATCAATCGGAAAAAACTCGAACTCGAACCCGAACTCAATAAACACGAGTTTTCCCCGTCCAAATCGAGGTGAGTTCGGGCGGGTACCCACGGGGCGGGTTAGGTTGTCATGCCTAATGTCTACACTTACATATGTGCACATAACGTTTGAAGTTGGTATTTTTTTTCTTTGAAGCTTGTAAACAAATCTTACGATAAAAATAAAAAATAAAAAATAAAAAAATGTATACATGTCTAACCACTATTTCAACTTAAATAAAAACAGTCGACAGAGAGATCTACAATGAAAGAAACGTAGGGATAAAGGTAGAAACAATATTGCGGCAAATTCAACAAAGTGTTGTTAATTTTGGATGAAAGTCTTTGATCAGTTTTCCACTTGCTTACCACTTGCGAATTCCAGAAGCTCGGGTTTCTTTTAAAGTAAATCACAAACCAAAGTCCTGTTAATAAAGAGACTTGTTAAACAAACAAGAAATGAAGATATTTCTTAACAAATATTCTTAAGATGCTTATTAGGAAACACCTTGGTCTTTCATACACTTGTACTTGCAACTATAAGAGAAAATATGTATAGAGGAAATGAAAGAGAATAAATAAAAGTATAGATATATGATAGTAAAAAATATGATAAATAGAAGTATTATTTAGATGTTTACACTGTAACATGTATCATGTATCTTTACTAAAAAATGAACTCCACCTAGTTTCTAATATCATTCTTTCTCCTAGTTACATGATGGTGTAGTGGCTAAAGAGGATCCAGGTCAGTTAAGATAATTTCTTTGCTTTTATTAGTGTGAATGAATATGACTAATTTTCCTCCTCTATATTATAACTTTAAAAAATAAAATAAAAGTTTAGAAAGTCTCAAACAGTGTATCTTAATTCTTAAACTTTATTTCGTTTTTTGAAGTCTTAAATTGCCAATTAGAAAAGCATATTTTTAAATTTAAATAAACATTTTAATATAATGTCAACATATTGTTAAAGAAATATAGAGTTTAAATTCCCCTGTTTTTTAATTAGGTTTCTGAATTCCTCATCCATTTTTTGGTCCAATCATTATGAGATACAAAGGTTGTTTTCTTCTTCATTCCTATACAGTTATATAACTGTGTATATATAGGTTCTCAAAGCTCCCTCTTGTTAATCTTGGCTTTTGTCTTATGTGTTGCATTTGGACCCACCTGAGCTCCTAATCCAACAACTTTTTTATTTAGAAAACAAACAATTGGTGGTGTTGTCATTTGGCTTGGCTATATCTCTCTGTCACTTGTCAAATACCTGTGCCAAATTTTCTTCTCCTACTAGACACAATTCTGAGCTTCATCCTCATCTGTCTTGGTTCAAAATGAAAGGGTAGAAAGACTGATATGGTCTGTCTATTTCTTAGTTTCTAATTGCACCAGGTACACTTCCTCCATGGGGTGATTGATCTTTAATTTCTACCTTCAGAATCTAGTTTAAAACTTTCTCCTTGTGGTATATGGTACTATCTGTTGTAGTCCTAGTAAACTGATCAGCAGCATATGATATGATACATGTTATACTATGATTCATGTGATTGTATGATTCCTGTGGTAATTCAATGTTCCAAGGAAGTTTTTAATTATCCCTTGTAGGTCTCTGTTCCCAAAGGTTTTGTTTAGGCTTTTCTGTTACTATCACCTGATCTCTATCTACTAGTATATTGGGCTGCAATTTCAAACAAGAATTGGGTTTTGGCAGGGAGTATTGTTTTCTTTGGTCTTAAAAATATGCTGTTTCTTTCATAGTGGATTTTGTTGCTGGGAGATTCTTCCGGCTAAGAAGTCAAATAAAGATATAGATGATATCCAAAGGGTTTTGTGCATGATTATCACTTTTATCCGAGTAATCAAACTGAATTGAAACCTAGTTGTTTCACGAGTCTCTTAATAATTAACATCTTGAATAGTATTTGCAGTAGGAGTTTCATTTTAATGTGATTTCTGGTTAGTGTTAATATATCATATTTGGAGAGCAAATGGTTTGCAAGGTTTAGACATTTTTATCTTCAATGTCTGAAGAATCATAGATCAATTTTGACTTTTTTGTTTATGGAGCATTTAATTTGATTTCAAGAATGCATTTTGTTATGAGGATTGGATTCTAGTATCTGCAGATAGAAGATCATAGTGTAAATGGAAAAATGGATATAAAGCACACAAGTGGTTTTTAATATTTATTTTACTTTTCCACCAAATACAGTGAGACCAGTGGCGACTATGTCAAGTATAAATGTATAATGGTCTTTGCTATGCTAAGGTGGAACTTTAACTGCCATGTCAACTCATGTTTGACTGAATCTAATAACTAACTTCTATTCGAAAAAAAAGTTTGAAATTCATTCTCTTGGTTGGCCAAGTGCATCATATTCAGTTCTCAAACAATTTCAATTTCAACCACGGTGGCTCGTCTGAGAATCAAGTAGCACCAAATTCTCTTTCCATTAAATATGATTAGTTCAACTTCATAGATGAGATAAGATACTAGCGCAAATTATGTAAGAGATGTGTATAATCTGAAGTAACCCTTATTTTTTACTGGTACAAAAAGTTTGTGAATTAAACATGGTGAACTATTTTTATCTGTTAACAGACTAACTGAGACCACAAAACTCAGTAGTGTATCTAGTACATATTTTTCATATTCATATAGATTAACCGTTCTACCAGAAAAGTTCATATAGTATCTAGTATATATTTTTCATATTCATAGAGATTAATAGTTGTACCTGAAAAGTTCATCTAAGTTTGTTTTCTACTCCTTTTGTTTCTCTCATCAGGGCGCAGTTATCCTAGAAGGTTCAACGAGATTACATCACTGAGTGACCCTACCTGTTTACTACTTCTCAAGGTGGGAAAGGAAAAAAAATTATGAATCTGGGTAGTTTTAATGTATTGCAGACTTTATTGCATTTGTTTCTGGCTAATACGTCAATGTTTCTTTACAGTCTAAAATTCTGTGTGAATTGTGTAACAGGTGAATCATGTCATTGGTTAGATCTGCTGATCTAGCTCCTACATCATATGAAAATGCTAAGCTCTACTCACTAAAGGGAACTGATGTTAGACCAGGCTTGTCCTCCCAAATTTTTGGTCCTGATAAGCATAGAAGCACATACATGACAGATACTTGCTCCCGCGAGAGTTATGAGAAGTACTTCCATGACTCACAAACAGAAGAACTGATAGAACCATCTAGTTCCAGCATCTCTGGAAGCTCAATTCACCCTGATGCAGCCTCTTCATACCAGCTCAGAGCTAGTTCAGGAGCTTCTATGGTTGCTAATAACCCATTTGATACTTCTTCCATGTCTACTAGGCATCATGGTGGTTATCGATCTAACTTTGGATCAGATTTGATGGAGAATGTTAGCCTGGATTCACGTGACAATGATGGTCAAATGAAATTAAAACTACAAGCATTGGAGAGGGCATTGCTTGATGATAGTGATGCTGAGGAGGAGGAGGAAGAGGAAGACATATTTGAGGCTACTCAAAGCATGGAAATAGACCCTGACATTGCTGAGTGGGCTGATTCCATGCAGAATATGCTGCTCCATGATTCACCAAAGGAGTACTCATCTTCAGATTCCAATATTAGCAGCATCAGCAGCACCAAAGAAACGTTACAAACTTTTCATAACCCCAAGCAACTGCTTTATGAATGTGCTATTGCACTTTCAGAAGGAAATGAAGAGGAAGGGTCATCTATGATAAACAATCTCCGGCAGATGGTCTCAATTCAGGGAGAGCCTTCTCAAAGAATTGCAGCCTACATGGTTGAGGGGCTTGCAGCTCGCCTCGCCGAATCCGGAAAAAGCATTTACAAAGCTCTGAGATGCAAGGAACCTCCTTCTTCAGACCGTCTAGCGGCAATGCAGATACTGTTTGAGGTTTGCCCTTGTTTCAAATTTGGATTTATTGCCGCTAACAATGCAATAACAGAAGCAGTGAAAGATGACATGAAGATTCATATAATAGACTTTGACATCAATCAAGGAAGTCAGTACATAAATCTAATTCAAACACTTGCTTCAAGGTCAAGTAAGCCACCCCATGTTAGATTGACAGGGGTTGATGACCCTGAGTCTGTGCAAAGATCTGTTGGAGGCCTAAAGATCATAGGACAAAGACTAGAGAAACTCGCAGAAGCACTTGGTTTGCCATTCGAGTTTCGAGCAGTGGCATCAAGGACTTCCATTGTCACCCCATCAATGCTCAATTGTAGACCTGGTGAAGCACTTGTGGTGAACTTTGCATTCCAGCTTCATCACATGCCTGATGAGAGTGTTTCAACGGTAAACGAACGCGACCAGCTTCTGCGCTTGGTGAAGAGCTTGAATCCAAAGCTTGTGACAGTTGTGGAGCAAGATGTGAACACAAACACTACCCCCTTCTTGCCTAGATTTGTTGAGGCCTACAATTACTACTCAGCTGTGTTTGAGTCTCTTGATGTGACTCTCCCTAGAGAAAGCCAGGACAGGATGAATGTTGAAAGGCAATGCTTAGCAAGGGACATTGTCAACGTTGTTGCATGCGAGGGCGAGGATCGGATTGAACGGTATGAGGTTGCAGGAAAATGGAGGGCAAGGATGACAATGGCTGGCTTCACTTCATCACCAATGAGCACAAATGTGACTGATGAAATCCGAAAACTCATTAAGGTGATGTATTGTGACAGGTACAAGATAAAGGAGGAAATGGGGGCACTTCATTTTGGTTGGGAAGACAAAAACTTGATTGTTGCCTCAGCTTGGAAGCTACCAAGATAATTAGTTATGTTAGGCCACAGACTCATTCTAGTATTGGTAATGTAGTGTTTGCTTGCTTGCTTGTTCAGTCTGTAGATTACTTCCGATATTCCTTTTGTAGTGTTTGTTTGCTTCTCCACATGTATACTAACGTGCAATCTTAAGCTAATAACGAATTTTCATTTTATGCAAGTGCTTTGCTTAACGTGGCTGTAGGACAAGGGAGCATAAAACAATGATGCTTATGCTTAAGCCGACAAATATTTCCAAATTTGATAATTTGTTAAAATAAAAGAAATCAAATGATTGATTGATATCTAAGCAACCTTCTAGTGTCGAGAAACCAACAACAACGTCCTGTTATGTACTAACCAAACAAAACAAGACATGCAATGAAACAAAAATATAAAGCATACCAAGGTTCCTATAGATGGTACATAGATACAGATACCCAAAAGGTGGAAAGTATTCCCCATAAAATTAAAAGCCCAAATTTCTTCACATAAGAAAAACAACCATTGAAAACATAAAAATTGTTACAGATAAATAATTATCTAAGTTTGTTTTTCTGTTAGATGATAGATGTGTTGACGGTTATATTCAGTTTTCAATCCTTTGAGAGTCTCTTTTGTAAATAAAAAAGCTCTGATACTATCTTAGAATAGTGGATCTAAATGATTTCTGAAAAACACACGAGACATTGAAAAGAGTGTCAAGCTGGCAGTACTCGCTTGAGTTCTGATCATTGCTCTGGGATCAAGTTTGATGTAAAGTTCCCTACAACGTTGACCCCAGAGAAACGAGCAGAACTCAAGCGAGTACTACCACCTTGACACTCTTTTCAATGTCTCGTGTGTTTTTTAGAAGCCATTTAGATCCATTATTCTAAGATGGTATCAGAGTTATCCTAGATTCTTAAAAATGGGTCACCTACCATTCATTAATACATGCACCATGGGCATGAGGGGGTATATTCAAGTCTCATCCAGCCACTTACCATTTATTGATACATGCACCATGGGCATGAGGGGGTGTATTCAAATCCCATCAATCCTAGTTCATTAAAAAAGAGGTGTATTGGAAAAAACACAAGTCTCACATCGACTAGAGATTAAGCAATTAAATAGTATATAAGTGGAAAGCAACCCTCACCTTACAAGCCGGTTTTGTAAGGTTGAATTAGACTTAAATCTACTATTCTAAGAAAAATGAATATGATCACTCTGAAAATAAACTAAACAGACAAGCATTGTGGAATAGCAAATGCAAGCAAAGCCTAAAGAAAGTTTACATGTGATCCACAGATATTGTAGACTTGCAGCATTTCTTCTTGTTGTTGTCACAGTTGACAGATTGTATCCCATCTCTTATTGTCACCAAGCGCTACTTCTGAGACAATTTGTCAAGTATCAACTATGGTTTTATTTCTTATTTTTTGATTCGAAAGAGCAAACACGTTTTTAATTTGATGAACATCCTTTAGCAATGATGGGCCTATCTGAATTAGCTGAACCCAAAAATCCAACAATTCTAGCTTGAGATTTGTCTCGTTTTTGTTTCTGAACGTAAAACTTGAATGATATAATATAGGAGTTAATCACTTATATACTGTCAGTATAAAAATTTTTTACACTGATAACTAATTATATCTTTTAATTGTGTCATGTCACTGTTAAAAATAAATGTGTTTACAATGACATGACACAATTAAAAGATATAATTGGTTGCCAGTGTAAAAAAATTTTACACTAGCAGTGTATAGGTGATTAACTCATAATATATTTATAAATATAAAATTATTTAAATATACTAATATTTGTAATTATTTAATAATTTTAGTGTATCTATATCATAATTTTAAAAAATGGACTGAACCAACCGGTCAGATTGATTCGATCAAAACCATTCCTTAATTGATTTAATTGACTCAGAAAACTATTTACAAAAAATTGGTCGTCTAGAATCCGTCAAAATAGTAAAATCAATAAATAAATAAAAATCAGTCAAAGTGATTTTGAATCTGTCCAATTAATATTTAAAAAATTATAAATTAATAAATTAGAATAACTTCTTTTTAATACTTAAATATAATTGAATCATTTATATTAGTTTACAATTTTTAATGTCTTAATTTTTTATCATTTATATTATATTAATTTGATATTTTTTATTCTAGATGTAAACTTATTACTATTAATAGATATTGTTATATTTTATTAAAATTTAAACTTAAATATTATAATATATTTAGTTTAGGATTGGGAAAATATACTTTTAATTCATCTAAAAAATTTCAAATTGACTTTTGGTCTTCCAAATTTTTTTTATTATTAAATTAGTCCCTCAAAAATTATAACATAGTAAGGCCCATCCTTTTATAACTCAAATGTGATGGTGTCGTATATGACAAACGAAAATACATATGGAAAATGAAAAGAATACTAATCACTCTAAAAAAAATTTAAATTCACTTTTGGTCCTCCAAATTTTTTTTTATTAAATGTTAAGAACTTATAAATAACATTTTATTTTAATTTTTAGTGTTATAAAATTATGATATTATATTCATTTAATATTATTTTTTATTATTAATGATAATAATTATTATTTTACTAATATTAGTTTGATCACAATTCAACTACGGTTAAATTATTGAACCTTGAACTAGTACATAGACTAATTTAATGACACTATCGCAAAAATATCATTTACTGGTGAACTTTCTATGTCAAGCGTTATTCACACAATATAGAAAGTAATGCAGTGACATACTTGTAATTGTACCAAAATTTTCTATGATGGGTGTTGATTTACCTAGCTATCATAGAATGTTGTTTTTATGATCGGCAAGTCAATACTCGTCATGAAAATTGTTGGTTAGGCTTTGATTCTACCCTTTCTATGACGGGTGTTAACTTATTTGATATAGAAAAAAAATTATATAACGAGTAAATCAACACTCAACATGAAAAAAAAAATCTATTATAGGTGAATTAACACCTATCATAGAAAGTCGTATAATTAAGATCCAAAGCGCGAATTTAGTTCACACTATCTTCTTGATATTGTTCCAACAACCCTACTCCTATTTTCATGCTTCATTCTCTCTAACAACCAAGAGCAACACAAACTCCACCTTCTCTGTTGACAACACATCCTCTATTATTTGCACACTTGATTGTAAGTTTTATAAGGTTTTTTATGTTCATTTATTTGTTGCAGTGTGTTGATTTGTTGTGGCATTGGAAATGAAATTTTGGGTGTTTAGGATTTGCTTTGTTGTTGCTCATTATTGATGAATATAGTTGTGCATGCTAGGTGCTTGACTAATTGTCTAGAACACTTGGCATGCATGAGATTATATTCATCAATAATGGACGTTGATTTGAGATTGATATGTGTTAATTTGGGTCTGTTGTAGGGATTGGTTTGACAATATTATAAGGTAGTTGTGAGTTTTTTTTTGGCACTTATAATGGGAGGTTGTTTTGGTGATTAATATGACTATTTTTGTGTTTAGTTACGAGCTTTTTTAGAATTCATTTAAGAGCTCTTTAGTAGCAATAATGGAGTTTTGTATTGTTCTTTTATAGTATGTTTGAACAATTTAACAAAATTTAGAAAATATTATATGTGTACATCTATAATGTACATAATTAAATAAACTCATAAACATAATTTGAGTTTATTTAACATTAAAATGTTTATTTTAGGTACCGATAAATTTAAATTAATTTAGGTATATATCCATAAATTTATATTATTTTAGGTACCATAAATTTATATTATTTTAGGTATCTATAAATTTTGGATTATTTTAGGTACTCATATAAATTTAGATTATTTTAGGTACCCATAGACAATATTTATTTAAATCAAATTTAAATTTATTATTGAGTTAGTTTAATTATATGTTTTAATTATATTATAGTTATCAAGATTGATCGATTGTAAATGAATCTTAGTTTCTTGTTTGAGATTGAATACAATGCTTACATAATTAATGTATAATCATTGTATTAAATATTAAATTTTCCATTTAAATAGTTTAAAATATATATATATATATCTCTCTGTGTCTGTGTGTGTCTCTGTGTCTCTGTGTCTCTGTGTCTCTGTGTCTCTGTGTCTCTGTGTCTCTGTGTCTCTATGTCTGTGTGTCTGTGTCTGTGTCTCTGTGTGTCTGTGTCTGTGTGTCTGTGTCTGTGTCTCTGTGTCTGTGTGTGTCTGTGTGTCTGTGTGTCTGTGTGTGTCTGTGTGTCTCTGTGTCTGTGTGTGTGTCTGTGTGTGTCTGTGTGTGTGTGTGTGTCTGTGTGTGTCTGTGTGTGTCTGTGTGTGTCTGCGTGTGCGTGTGCGTGTGCGTGTGCGTGCGTGTGTGTGTGCGTGTGCGTGTGTGTGTGTGTAAGTTAAGTTTCATTTTAAATTTGATAAGATTTCAATTGATTACATTTCTTATTAATCTTTGGGTACATACTTGATTGTGGTGAATTTGATATCACCACTTTCATTTTGTGTACTTAGCAACCAATAAAAAATGCTGTCAAAATTTTGTCAAATTTAATATATGAGACTTTACCTTTATGTATTAATCAAGTATAGAGTTATGTTTCCCAATAAGTAGAGTCACACTTATATTAAAAAATAAGGTTGATACAATTTATGTCGGATAAACACACTAATGAATTGGAGTTGAATAATTGTTCATGCACAATTGTTGAGTATAAGAATGTAGTGAAATAGTTTCTTCAATTTACTCAAAAGAATGTTAGAGACAATAATAAAAAATTCTACTAATATATATTTCATTAAAATAATTATATATATATATATATATATATATATTAAAAATCATAATAATTTATAATATATAAAAATAGATTATAGGGATGGCATGTATCAACTATCAAGATATGTCACATCGTATGTTAAGTTTATAAGTCACGTAAATGACATATTTAGATAACTAAACATATGTTACGTAGTCACTAGATAGTAATAGAAAATATTTAAAAAGAAAATAAAATTATGAAGATCAAAATCATAAATATAAATATATATATATATATATATATATATATATATTCAAATTTGATTTTGTTTTACCTTTTTTAAATTTGATTATATTCATGAGAACTGAAAATATATTTAATTCAATTCACGATCCTTTAAATTGTTCTCTGCTTTAAATGAGCTAAATTAATGACTTCAACTTAACAAATAATTTTTTTTAGTTTGTTAATTACTACTATTTTTATTTGAGTGAGGAGCCCTTTCAAGTTATAAATATGTAAACTGTGCAGTGTGATTAGTAAATAATTTTATCTTAAATACATGATTTTAAGTTCAGTTGCTTTTCGTGTCTATAAAAAAATTTGTTGAAGGTCAATTTTTTAGAAAATATCTTGATCTACCAAAGATAAAAAGAAAAAACAAGTTATGAAAATGCGTCGTTAGTCCATGAGGGAATATGCACTTAAGGGATTGGAAAGATCGTTTAACAAGTACTTAAAAAATCACTAATTTCCTCAAATAAAAAAAAAATCATACCAAAATAATTGGAAATTAATTGCAACCAAATATCAACCTCAATAAACCCTAAAAAAATTATTAAAAACCCAAAAGAAATTGCTTATTTATGTAGGCTATTTGCGGCTACGTAGCAACATGACATGGTAATGTAATGTCAAACATCAAACAAATAGTAATCTACTTGAAATATATTCAATAATGCAGGTTGACATGTCGAAATTAGACTAATTTAACAAAGCTTTTTTTAACTCTTGATGAGTTAATGGTTAATTGCATTGCATTATATTCCTTTGACACCACTAGGGTTAACCTAGTGACTAGTAGTTGGAGAAAGGGGATGAGATAGATAAAAGTATGATGATTTAGGGTTGATCTTTATTGTGTTTGTTTTTGTAATTTTTTTATCTTAAAAAAAAAATTCCATCTGCCTTGTATACAATTCAACAAAATCTTTCTGTAAATTGTGAAATTATCATGTTAATCCACTATCGACAACTTGTAAAAAGCCTTGGACATTGGTTATCAATTAAGTTCACCCATTACAGATAAGGTCCTTCAACTTCCAATTTGTCTTCCCATGAAAGAGAATTTTTCATAAAAAGGAATGAGAGTATGAACCTTTCACTCTTATATGACTTGAGCAGAAAATTATTGAGTAGTTGTTTATATGTGAAGTGGACCACATCAGCTTTATGCTGCATTGTTGAGTGGTCTGGTCACAATCATTTGAGGAAGTTGAATTCGATGTACATTTTTCTAAATATCAGATATTTGCTTTTTGTATTCTTCAAGACAAGAATTCTGAAATTATTGGCCCCCTCTTATTATCATGCCTTGCTGCCAACAGCTTTAAGATCCAGTCAATTATTTTTCCATAAGAAGAACAGAACTGCAACTCCAAAATATATCATTATTATTAATAAAGATTTATACACCAATTACATGGAACAAGTTCAGAAAAATTGTTGTTGAATATAGTTAGTAACTTGGTATATATATAGATGATACGCTCTCAAGTTCTTGATAGACATGACATGAGATACACACATTCATGTCGAACTTACAAAGATCAAAGGATGCTATATATATACTCGTGGCTTGATGGATGTTCATTGTTCATAAATAATAAGTGGAATGAAAACTGTGAGTGTGGATTGGTAGATTCTGATCTTAACTTAGGTCTTGAGTCCTGACATTGCATTCCCGCATTTCAATTGACAACCACACGATCTCGTGGAGGTGAAATCACATAAATTCTAAAAAATTATTTTTTTTGAAGTGTTATGCAAACAATTATTTAAAACATGTGACCGGTTTTCAATTTTTTTTTTTTTTTTTTTTTTGCATTTGTATGAGTATGTAAATGACATTCTACCATTATTATCCTATAATGTTGATAATAATAAGAAGGAAAAGAAACATAATTTAGTTTTTTATATTCTCTTAAAAAAATTGTATAATCATGTATTGTTAATAATAATAAAAATTATGTAATAGATAATATTTTGTTTAACATGACATTATGTTTCTAAAGATATTATTAATTTTAAAATATATGTTATAAAGTAGAATATCTTAACTTAATTTTTTATTTATTTTATTCTTAAATTTGTTAAGATGGTAGTTATGTCAAAAAAGATTAAGATGATACATTAAAAAGTTAGGTTAGTTGGTGCAGTCTTGTTAGGGTTAATTTAAATTCAAAGAAAATAATCCAATAGAAATTTCAAACTGATAAAAGTAAGAATAAACCTATCACAGTCCATCTTTATTACCCCTTGCAAAAGTTGAGATTGAAAAATTAAAAGTCCTAACAAAAAAAAAATGGAGTAAAATATTACTTGAATTCTTAAAAATGTATGTTCCTAACACTTTTGTAAAATAAGAAAATTTTGAATAAGTGTTCAAATCTCTTATTCTTTCATTTATCTTCCTAAACTTAATCCCATATTGTTATTTTAACCCTTAAATATATTATTTTGAACACACTTTTTTGAATTTTTGGATTAAAATGAGTAAAAAATTGAATTTTCATGCTTTAAGGAATCAATGTGCTTATGACATCTACTTTCAAGAATCAAAATAGAGTTTTACCCAAAAAGAAAAGAAGAATTAGAATACTTTAGTCAAATATAATATATATATATATATATATATATATAGGTTTTTTTATTTCTTACTTTTGGGTAGTTACTTAATGCTCGCCACCGTTTCTGGTTTTTGAGAATTTTGGACTAAGTTGTACTTTTTAGTGGGATAAAAAAGTTGAGAGATTTGAAACATAAATGACATCCACATGAATTTGAGCTTTCTTAGAACCTCACAATCTTGTAATAATATCCACATGAGGAGATACTGCATAATCAAACCAAATAAATTGAAAACCAGCACAGGGCAGGTGCTTATCCACAAGTATAAGAGTGCATTCATTTTCCACACTGTTTGTCTAACTAAAGTTACACAAAAGCAACATGGCCATGGAGAACTGTTTAAGACTAACCACTGTAGCCACAACCACACCCCAATGCCTCTCTCCATTCTTTCCAACTTCAAGGGAAAAGCTTGTTTTCCCAACTCAAACAGGTTTCAAGAAATCCATGCTAAACTCAAAAGTGTCATACCCATCATCTCTTTATTCAACTGGTGCTACCTACAAAAAATCCCGTTTTGTTTGCAAAGCTCGTGAAGCAGTAAATGAAGGTAATTAACTAATTATCCACCAATTTGCTAGTCTCCCCCATTAGCTTTTTTTAATTCATAGGAATTACAATGACAATCACAGGATCTAAATCTAAAATTATGTAAATATTATTCCAACTCTTACCATTAAGCTGATTAAAATGGCCCGTCTTCCCATTTGCTTGATATTGTACTAAAATTATGCTGGAATAAATTTCTCGATAAATATTTATAAAAATATTAAATAAATAAAAATTCTCCCATAATACGAAATTAATTTGTGCACAAATTAAAATAAATTTTAAAATTAAGTAAATGATAAAAAATTCTATAATTTCAACTTGTGGAAACAACTTGGTTTTTTATGATTTTTCCTATTTATAAAGAAGTTTAGTAGAGCCTGCATAACTTTTTTATGACATGGTTTTCCAGTTTAAGTCTTCATTATGAAATCCAGACACCCTTAAAATGATGTGAAGTAGTAGTAGAAGGTATTAACCTGGATACTCTGGTTTCAAAATTTTCAACAGAACGTGTTAAGCTAGACTTATACTGAACTTTGCATTACAATTCAAACTAGTGGCATGCGCTTTGAGAAGAGCGCCAAAACAAATTACAACTTCACGTACACTCAGGAATGTCATGGCAGTGCCTGATTTCATGCATACATTTTTGTGGCCATGTACATGCATGTATAAAGTAGCAGAATTATTTTCTAATTTCTTCTTGAAATTAATGTACAAGTTTGTTTGTTTCCTTGTACTGAATTCTGAATTTGTTTTCCCTTAGTGAATAAGAACATTTACGTAGTTGTTCTAGACCACACTAGCTTTAACTTTTAAGTGACTTAACCCTCTATGTGGTGTCTTGTCTGATGAAATAATACATATGCTCAAACTTGGCAGTTAAAGTAGTGAATGACTCAAGCTGGAACAACCTTGTCATTGCAAGTGATACCCCCGTGCTTGTGGAATTTTGGGCACCATGGTGTGGGCCATGCAGGATGATAGCACCTGTTATCGATGAGTTAGCGAAGGAATATGCTGGAAAAATTGCATGCTACAAGCTCAACACAGATGATTCTCCAAACACAGCAACACAGTACGGCATCAGAAGCATACCAACAGTTCTGTTCTTCAAGAATGGAGAGAAAAAAGAAAGCATAATTGGTGCAGTTCCTAAGTCTACTCTGTCAGCAACAGTGGAAAAATACGTTGATTCATAAACTGAGAAAATGATAATAGTGGCCTGCATTACAATGCCAAAAATGAAAGGACGGGAATGAGAGAAGTGATATTACTGACGCTGCAAATTTCATTCTCTTCCATTTTTTTCCATGCCATATATGGCTGTTTATTAGTTTAAGGACCATCTTTTCATCTATAGTTTGACACATGAAGTAATACTTGTACCCTTTTTTTTCATTTTGTAAAGGTTACATTGGATAAACAGACTTCATTCAATGTTTGAATGTTGATTACTTCCTTGTGCAAAGGAACTTTAAATTGATCATTGTTTGGGACAATATCTAACTATTCCCCCAACAAACAGTTGCTTTTTGTATTCCAAAACTTGTCACCTTCCTCGTGTGAGTATATCAAGGATGATGAGTTTGTGAAAGCTCATAAGAAAGAAAAATTAATATAAAAAGTTACACTTGAATTCACAAGAAAAATCAGCCCCATCAGCCTCACAACCAGCCAACAAATTTTCATTTCTTATATAGAGAATCATATATTGGCACAGTGGCCTATGCCCTATCACTACCCAACCCAAATAAATACTTTCTGCCATCAAGGGCCGAAGGCAATACCATTGCAGCATTGCTCATGTTGCATGAGCAGCTGTCAAGAACCACAACATTCATACCATCTACAAAGGCTCTCAAGGAGAAGGTTTCCAATCAAATTGAAGATTATTAAAACCATTTACTGCCCCTAGCCCACTAAGTAGTTGGTTTGACAAATCCTGTTGATGATTCATAGCTTGATCGCGAGCAAGAGATGCCATTCCTCCCCTTCCGTTCATGATTGAATTATTTACCATAGCAGTTCTGATTCCATTAGGCATAGTGGATTGACCAAGACCCATTGTGCCATAACCACCAACCCCAACGCCGGAATTACTGTTCAGTGCACCATTACCCACCAAGCCATTGCCACCATTGAGGCCTGTATTGGCACCCACTGGCAAAATACCATTTACATTCTTCACGTCATTTCCTAGAGATCCAACGCCAACCATTCCACCTGCGCCACTAATCTGGGAGGACATCATCATCTCATGTATGATTTTCTGGACTGAGCTCTGGGCATCACTAGGGTCAGGTTCACCAGAAATAGATGGCTGTTGCTGTTGCTGTTGCATGGAAATATTAGCTGGTGAATTTGTAGTACTCATGTGATTGGCAGATGTTAAAGCAGGGTGAGATGCTTGTGGGGGGTTGTTCGAAGAGGATGGTGCTGGTGATTGAAAAGAGGATGAGTTTGGCTGGGCCTGTGGCACTGTATTGGAGGAACCTGGGGATGGAATCTGAACAGAATTACCTCCATATGGACTGCTTGCATTGTTCATTGAATTTTGTTGTCTAGAATTCATCGAGTTCTGGTGGAGAAGTCCAACAATAGTGCTTGTGGTGGTAGATGTGGATGCTGCATTGACAGAGTTATTTACACTAACCATACCATTGCTAGAAGCTATTTGCATGGCAGCAGCTTGTACTGAGTTTTGATCACCATTTGAGTTATGAGCCACCATTTGTTGTTGCTGTTGCTGCTGTAATTGTTCTTCATGCTGTTGTGCTTGACTACGAGGTCCCGATGAACCACTTGTTCTCCGAGGGAATTTTGCTAAGCTCTCTAAGAGTTGACAAAAAATAAAGAAAAGAAATTCCATTATACACTCTTATCATGATCAAACAGCAGGCAAAAATTATTAATATTAGAAAACAATATTTCCATAACAAGAAAAAAAAATCCACCATTTTAGTTTATCTCTAAACTTTCCTCTAGTTATGTAATATGAAAAATTACAGAACAATAATGGACTGAGTTATAAGTCATTTTCCCAACTAGGTACAGAGATCAAAGATATAACTGCAGAAATGGTTGCCCATAAAAACAATGTCATGTAAAAAATGATTCCATACTTGGGACAGAAAAAAGCACAATATAGAAAAGTTTTGCTCCTAAAAGAAGTTCAGTCAACTTTCATCAGCATCTTGACCTCAAACCTACCCATTAATAACCTTCCTGTCCGCAAATATTAAATGAGTGATTAATTACACATCCTTGACCTCCAAATAGACATGAGGGTATCCAAATATTAGAACACATCAAAGATATTCCAGGCTACAGAAAATGGATTTAAGTACAAAGTAAAACAGATAATAAAAGGAGATGTGTTTCCTCCCAAAAATTAGTTTCAACTCTCAAGTAGTAATAGCCTAATAGGTAAGCCCCAACAAATAAATCATTAGGGGAAGCATTATGAACTCTTAATTGTCCGCTCTCGATTCCCTTCAATATCTTTTTTTTTTTTTTATCATTATTGGCATACTCATAGCAACCACATCTTCCAAAGCAGAAGACCTTGAGAAACTACATTGCAATTTCTGTAAATATCTATAAATCAGTTGGACAGTGTATGCACAAATTAGCTATTCCTTCATAGTTAAGTAACCTAGGAAATTTGTTTCCTTCTCTCCCAACTATAAATAAAAGGCATAAATTGCATGCCACTCAACAAGACTGGATTCCATCTCACATAACTTCCAAACTATACACTTTTGTTAAACTTTAATAAATCTTCAATAGAATCCATTTTAACATTTAACAAATACACAGTGGTTGAACAACTTGAGGCTCCAAGACCAAGTCTTTAACCAGATCATGAACAATCTTCAATCCGGGTATCTTTAAGACCCTACTTTCATCAAAAGCAGCTGCATCTGGAACTAATTCCACTACTGGACCTAGCTTAGAAAGGTTGGATGCAAGCTACCCAAATATCAACCATGTAGGATAATGTTGAGAGAAAAATAATATCCAAAAACAATTTCTAAACAGTGCTCATTTTTATTAGAAATGGCAAATAAACATTGGAACACTAAAAGGAACAGCTGTTCTATTTTTAATAAATCATTATTCATACACATTAATATCCAAACTTGCAAATAAAGAATAATCAAGTAAATAATTAACTTACCCATAGGTCCAGTTCCAGTTTCTCTGCTGTAATCTATCAAGTCTTTCATACTATTTACCACTTCTGATATCTGCAATATCAAAAATGAAACAATAAACTAAGTTTGTTCACTTTGTTATATTCACTTTATTTATGAATAGAGTTCAATGGAGATTATCCTCCTAATGAAATTCATTTTTTTCTGATAAATGTATCATTTACTCTTATATACAGAATCTATACCCAAAAATAAACGATGAACTTTTTTTCTCTTTTTGGTCAAATAGCCATAATTCCTGATTTATTTTTCCCTTGATAATCACACTTCCAAAAATTATAAAAAGCCTATTATTTACCAAAACAGAAAAACACCACCAAACATCAGCCAGCGATTACTGCACCCCAACTCCCAAGTCCCCTCTATGGAAATTTTATTACAAACATGAATATTCAGTCACATTGAGAGAAACAACCAATTAAGGTTTCCCTATTCAAACAACCAAGGAAAGTGGGGTGTTCTGTTCAAAAATTTCACAAAATAGTATTTCAACATACAGGGATATGATGGTAAAACAACACACATAATAGTTCCAGAAAAAGAAACCAAGTGCAATTTGTAACATTAAAAGGAAATAAATGCATAATTTCCAACAGAAAGGCAAATTAAGATTAAACATTGCAAATATGTGGTATGCAATTTCTCAAAAAGGGAACACTACCTGTAGGCAGCGCACATATCTCTTCGTATATCCTAAATCATTAACCAATGGTACTTCTAAGGCTTTAGCCAACTGACGGGCTGATGCAACAAACCTGGAAAAGAAGCACATAAAGTTATTAAAAGAAAAAACAGAAACCTTCATAAAAAGTAAACCTAATTAAGTTAGACCAAAAAGAGATCAAGAAAAAGAACAGTGCAATCTTAAAGGGTAGACAGTAGACGCAACCAACAGAAAACAGAATATACAAAAATAGGAAATGCTGTGCAAAGCATGTAACACATCCCTGAATGCTGTGACAATGAGACTCACATGCAAAGCCATCACTACTCCTCACAGCAGCAAACACCAAATCCAGACCTCACATATTAACCAAGGGAGAAGATTTTCATTGAGAATGAAAACAAAATCAAAATATACAAAATTATATGCTAGAAATGGATCAAGCATAACTCACTTCGAAAAGCTAACTAAAGGGAGGAGGATTGCCCAACTCTTATTCAGAGTATCCTGGCCATATTCCCAGCCAATGTGAGACATCTAAACACTATTTTTCAAGAAAACAGATCACCAAGGTATCTTATATACAAGAGGATCGACAACCAAAATGGTCAAGAAACTAAAGAGTGGAACAAATTGCAAACTACATTTTACTAAGAGCATCTCCAATCCCAAACCCATCCATTGGTTCTTAACCTACTTTCACTGGACCTCAAATTGCCTCATCATATTTAAGAATGTTTGTGTAACTTTTTACTCCAAAGGTGGACTTTCAAAGAACTTAAAAAGGGTCCCACATCTTCATATTTTTTTTATATTTATTATTATTATTATTATTATTATAAGATAATAAACCATTTATATTTTAATTTTGAAATAATAAATTTACCAAAAAAGCATTTCAATAATTTTTTCATAATAATTTTGTCGTCAAAAAATATATTAATAATTTAGAAATATTTTACAAGCCTCAAAAAAATTAAAAGGGAAGCTAAAAAGCAAACTAAACAAAAAGTTTCAGATTTATACAGCAAAGATTAAAACTAGTACCAGTCACTCGGGCATTAAAAACTTGCCTGAAAGAATGTTAAAAAAGTCACAAACATTAACACAGAAAACGATAAAAATAATTACAATCCCCACATAAAGAAAACACATCACAACAACACAGATTAGTCACACCCAAATCATGAACAAAATACAAAACACAAATCAGTCAGTGAATCGCTCAAATCAATTGTTAGGTTGCAAAAAATGGAAAATCGAGATCTGAGGACAGCAAAGGCAGCAGATTAGAAGCTACAGGAGAAGTGGAGGGGAAGGTCATCAAAATGGCTTCAGAGGAGAAGTGAATAGTGGAGAAGAAGGTAAATGATAGCTATATCCCTAAAATTGAATCTGAAAAATACAAAACACACAAATCGAGAAAAAAATACAAAACACATATTGAGAACAAGTGAATAGTCACACTCACACGCCTAAATCAAGAAAGAGGAAAAATGCAAAACACAAATCAGTCAGCGAATTGCTCAAATCCATTTCAAGATTGCGGAAAATGAAAATTTAAGATTTGAGAACAGCAATGGCAGCATCACAGCAGGGAATAAGCCAGTGGAGGAGAAGATCATTGAAACAGCTCCAGCAGAGAAGGTAAATGATAGTTATTTTCCAATAGTTGAATCTGAAACTAAAAAAATGCTTTTTAATGACAAGAACGCAGTTCTTATGTAAGAACCATTCTTACACATGGAGTCCAACTTGTTGAGCTCCAATGAGAAAATCTAGAAAGAACTGATTCTTAATTGTAAGAGCAGTATAGAAGCAACTCCCATTGGAGTTGCTTCTAAAGGAGATAAGCATGGTAAAACATTCATATGAATCCCTATTCAAAAGGAAGTCATGGCCCTTTCCACAGTCTTGCAATAAGAAAGTTACTAGATAATAAACACGCATAATAATCAAGTTTTAAAGAAAGCATGCATCAGTAAAAATAGAAAATTGATAAGACTCAAAAATTAACATAAAAAATAAATGGAAAAACGGGCTTACATATTGCAATTATTTTGTAGTTCTGGAACAGATACATTGGGTGTTGCATTTTGAGTAAAAGCCTGGTATTTTTGAGCAACCGCTACAAGTTGACTAACCTGTATATAATAATAATAATAATAATGATAAGATAATAAATAACCATAATGTAATATCTAAAATGCATATAAAATCAGTGATACAATAGGCATTCCTAACAAAATAATAATCACAATACTAGGCAACAAAACCAGGAATCCATAGATCCTAGCAAACATCTCATCAAATGACAATCTCAAAACTTACAGTGGACCTACAGTGGTGGATATTTAAACATCTCATCAAGTATGTTTGTCTATGTAAACAGAGCATTTAATAGTTATAATTACAAAGTCCTCTCATAATTCAATTACTGTCAACCTGTGGTATTAACAATCTCCTGGGGATGAGCTCCTCATGGCGCCGAGCACAAAATTCCCAAGAACATATCTGCAATTGAAATAACAAACAAGAGATGTCAATTAATCTTTCTTTCATTATTTCATATAAAGAAAGTCAAAAAACACAATAACATATGAGCATTTTTCATTTAATATTTTGAATGTTAATATTTCTATTTCTATATATAACCTTCAGGTCTGGAGAGAAAACTATTCGGAGTTGACCATCACGAACAACACGAAGTTGCTCAAAAACACTTTCTTGTATTGCTTTTGCATAATCTAGAACAATCTGACCAGAAGAATTATGATATTCGCGAGGCATGTCAACATAAAGAAGTTCTTCCAAAGTACCACTTTCATACTTTATCTTGAAAAGCCGGGGAAGAACCTCGACAGTTGCTTCTGGAAAAAAAAAACAAAAAAACAAAAAAAAAACATTCAGAAAGAGAAAAGCACAACACAATCACATTTGCATATATTTGACAAATATTTTAAGATGCCAACATTCAAACAGTGAAGAACCAAAAATAGACTAAACAAGGAAATGCAGAAAAAATAATCCCAAAAAAACAAAACTTACCAAATCCACGGCCAGGCTTGCGATTACATATTTCACAGTGCCATACATCCTGAAAATATTTAAAGAATTCATCCTTTAGGTTAAACTAGAGTTTAGCATCAATTGAACAACTATATGAGGTTCCTGGAATAGCAGAAACCATTCACAGCTACATTTAAGGCAATAGTTACTCACGTCCTGAGACATTACAATATGGCAATTGAAACAACAAAATCCAGATGCCAATTATAGTTCAATCAATCATGCAAATAGATAATTAATTCAATAACTTAGATAAGGTTATACAGGATTCAGAATTAGTTTATTAGGTTTTCTCTAGGAACAGACCTGAGGGAAAACTCCAGTTGGTTGTCTTACACTTCCATACATAGAAACACACCATTTTTTCTTGGCATTAGGAGCAAAATATTCAGCAACAAACTTTCTCCAGAACTCAATATTGTTATCCTACATAAAATCAGTGTGAAAATATCTCTTAATAAGACATGTGATATGCACACATCAAACAAGGTCAATATATAGATTGGTTCTTACTTCAGGTCTATGTTGTTGCTGATACATGTAATGTGTCAGCCGCCTAGCACACATCCCCGGTTCATACACTGGTTTCACAGGAGATCTCATTGGCATATTCTGCTGTTGAAATTGCTGTGGTAGTTGGGACCGTTGCTGAGGCATTGCCTTCAAGAGTTGTTGCTGCTGGTGTTGTTGTTGCAACTGTAAAAGCCTGTGGTGGCGCAAAAGATTGATTTGGGCAGCAGCAGCCTGAGGTGATTGACTTGACATGTGAAGGAGCTGTTGTTGTTGTTGTTGTTGTTGTTGCTGCTGCTGCTGCTGCTGCTGTTGTTGTTGTTGCTGTTGCTGCAAAAATAATGGTTGATCAGAATGTTGGGGCTCCATTTTAACAGGTCCCAATGTTCTCATTGTCTGCATTTGTTGTGGTTCCAATTTCACTGAAGCAAGATTCCTCAATGGTTGCAACTGCTGCTGCTGTCCAAGTTGATCATTGCTTACTTGGGGCTCTAGCTTTACTGGTCCCATACCACCAATCCCTCCTCGAATTGATTGAAGATGCTGCTGTGGCTGTGGCTGATGCTGTGTATTCAGAGGAGCAGAGAACTGTTGCATTGACTGCTGACCATGTTGGAAATTTTGAGGTTCAAGCTGTTGGGAATGCTGTTGATCTGGCATCAACTGGTTACTAGAAGGGTTTGAAAATTGCTGACCCTGACCTTGGCCAGAGGAACCAGCATTTACTATATTTGACTGTACAAACGTTGACGAAGAATTATTGAAGCTCATTCCATTGCCAACGCTGGAAAGTGGATCTGTTTCAGCTCCAGTATCAATCCCTCCACGCTGGCTACTTCCTGGAACTCCAATTGGGAAAGACTGATTCAGTATGGAACTAACATTGGACATATTTCCTAGAATGTTCATGTTGTTGAATTGAGTGCGCGGCGACACAAGTGAAGGGAAAGACGTCTGCGACGGCATGGGACCCCCTTGATTTCCTAACATCCCTGAATTCGATCTCAAAAGAGAGGGTGAAACAGACTGGGCACCACCAATGGGAGTGGGTGGCCCCGGAGGCACCATCTTTAGACACCGCGGTCTTCAAGCAGTCACCTAAGCATAACAACTAAGTTACATAAACACGAGTTCAACAAACTACACAATTACACAACAGCTTGGGAGAAACTGGGCACATTCACAATGCTCAACCCATAAAGTAGTACATCTACCCAAAGTTCAAGGCCAAAGTCTTCACTGTGATCCAACATAAGCATATGGTATTGAGTTTTACCAAACACAAGCCATACACCAAAGAAAACCCAAAGCAAGAAACATTCTTTGATTCTGAACATTACAATTGCGCTACCTCCCTTAAATGAGCAACCTCCAAACAGCTTTGGCATGAATCTCTGTACAACACGTGACTTCTCAGATCCAACCCATCAACCAGCGCACACAATAATAGCCAATAAACAAATAAAAAGAAGGGGGAAAATCACACTAAACCAAAAATAAAACAAAAATAAAATTAAAATAAATTAAAAGAAAAACATGAATCAAATTAAGACACACATCTCGCACAAAAATCATTAAAACCCCAAAAAACCACTTCAAAATTACCATTTTTCAAAAAGTTCCAGCTCAATTGAAAAAGAAAAAAATAAAGTGCAAGACATAAACTTCATCAAAGAGGTGAAAAAAACAGCAGCCGATCGAACCGCAGCTGAAGCGAATCAACGATCCAGAGCTACAAATGAGACAAATGGGGTGCAGTAATTGAAGAAAACAGAGACAGAAACATAGGCGAAAGGGTCAAACGTTAGAAGCGTCACGTTAAACTAGCCATGACTCACCGCGAGTTGAAAATTGCGAAATTGAACAGTGACAGAATCTGGGAACTGATCAACGAACTGAGAAGGGACGAAAAGACTCAAACTTTCTACTTGAATTCGCATCCACTGAGAGTGTGCCTAGGGTTTTGTCAGTGCAAGAGCAGCATCGTGTTTAATCGCAAGTGAAAGGCACTACAGTTGCTGCTACTTCATGCTGAGTTTCTAGAGAGAGAAAGTAGAGAGAGAAAGGGTCATTGCGGACGTCAAGATTGTATTCGATCTGATTGAATTTTCTTCATTCCTTGGTCCTTTCTTTTCGCTTCTATTCTCTCTCTCTCAATACATCATACATGAAGTCAAATCCCATTCTACTTCTCTGCGCCTCTATTATGCACATGCACCATGTTCATGTTGTTTATCATGACTCATCATCATGTTATCTCATATCTCTCTGCACCAGTATCATTATCCCTAGCTCATAGGATTAGTTTCTGCAATTACGGATATGCCCTTTCTTTATTCTCTTATTTATAAAACTAACCCCCTCTTCCATCTTTAATTGCTGTCCTGCGTATGCGTGTACCAATTAGGTGTGATAATAGGTTTCAACTAACCTCCTTAAACCTTAGACCAAATTAATTTAGTCAATGTCTTTTTTAATTTATTTCCATACTTGTATTTTTCTTTTCAATGTATATCATATATATAAAGATGATACTTTTTCTTAATTTCATACTTTTTTATATATTTATACTTTATTATTATTTTTTATTATTATTATCATATCTTTTAAAAATAAAATAGAAGAAAAAAAATATATATACAAAAAAATTTATTATCCACTTATCAATAATAATTTCCAACTTATTTGTAATTATTTTTATTTCCATTTTTGTTTAATATATAATTTATTTTTTTATTTATATATTATTTGACTTTATTTATATGATATAATTTTTATTATATTATTCTCATATAAAATTGATAGAGTACGAACCACTTTTTTTTCATTGGTATAAATTATATTAAAATTAAAATTTTGTAATAAATAAGTCTTTTAAACATATAAATTATATTTTATATTTATGATAAATTAACATTTTAATGTATATAATGAATAGAGTAAAAT